AAAAGAAGATGAAACCACGACGAAATACCGTTGGAAACAAAAAACCACAGCTGGCGTCACGCTGCACGCCACATATGACACCGACGCCACTAATTTTGAAACGCCAAAAATTATAAAATAATATTAAAATACTCCCCACTATCTCGCTTTAATTAATTAAATATTCACCCACCTACTCCCCTCCACCTCTATAAAAACCCTACCCTAAGGCCTTCTTAACCTTCTCTCGTTTCGCATTTCATCGGCGTTTCTCTCTCGAGCGTTTCGTTTCTTCCAAGCCATCGTCAGCTAAGTTTTCCTTCTTCTTCTCTCTTTCATTTCTCCCTCTTTCCCTCTCTCCGTCTCTCTCTCTCTTGTTCGTTCAAGGTTTCGAGTTTTTTATTTCTCTTCGGTTTTGATCGATCTGGTAGTCTGAATTCTGAATCTACTGATTTGAGCTTAATCCTAGGTTTGCGAGTTCGTTTATTTGTTGATTCCCGTTTTTAGTCCTTGTTTTTGCTATCCGATTGAGGGTATCGGTATACGGATTGTATAAACGTACCAATGATCTTAAATTTTCTATGAGTTACGCAATCTTCATGCGTCGGATTCGAATCCTGCACTCATTCTCGGTTGTGTTTCTCTACTGGTTCTACGTTTTCTCATGAAGTAATTCTCTGTTTTCATAATCTTTTGACCTCATTTTGCAAATCTAACATTATTAATTCATCTCTCCGAAAATTTGAAAAATCCCAATCCTTGTTGATTCTGATAAGCAATCCTGCTTAAACATTTGTTAAATCAACAAGGAAATAGCTTATCTTGTTGATTTTATCGGAAAACTAGAAAGGAAAAATAGTTTAGAAATGGCGTCTGTGCAGCGGCAAGCGAGTTCGGGATCTGAGACTACTGACCCGCGATATGCGTCGATCGTGGATGAAAGGAAGAGGAAGAGGATGATATCCAACCGGGAATCAGCCAGGCGGTCGAGGATGAGGAAGCAGAAGCAGATGGAGGATCTGATTCATGAGGCGAGCGTCCTGCAAAGCGATAACAGAAGAATCATGGAGAAGATTAACGCCACCACCCAACGTTACATCAACATGGAATCGCAGAACAATGTACTGCGAGCTCAAGCCATGGAACTAACTGACAGGCTAAGGTCTTTGAACTCTGTTCTTCAGATGGTGGAGGATGTTAGTGGTCTTGCTCTGGACATTCCTGAGATACCCGATCCTCTGCTTGAGCCATGGCAGCTTCCTTGCCCCGTGCAGCCAATCATAGCTTCTGCTGATATGTTCCAGTGCTGATGTTAATCTCCTCGTCTTGGAAGTAAAAGGGAGTGTTTCTGGGTCATTTCGTGTTCCTTTAGGTTTTCTGTTGTGCCTTTATTTTGAAGTAACCGAGTCTAAATGAGGTCAAAATCGGTGTCTTTGACCAGGAATTGCTGATTATGTAATGTGTTAGGTTTAATCAAGTTCTATTTCATTATGGGATGCTTTTTGTTGATAATTATAGCATGGGTTGCTTCTGAATATTCGATATCTTTTGGTTTTTTATTGAATGTTTATTAGCTGGGTAAGAACTAAAAATTCAAACTGCACATATATTTTGACCTTCTGGGTTCTAATGTATGTTGTTATGCCGGGATTTAGAATACAACTGGAGGAAAAATCGAATGTTTGAGAACTCAGGGGATGAATTCATGAATGGAGATTTTTTCTGCAATTTAGATATTTTTTTGTTTGAATTAGTTTGGATTTAGGCATAAGATTGAATTGAATGGCTGCCAAATCCCTTTTGGTTCAGTTCTCGTTTTCTTTGTTAAGAGGATATTTTTACAAATAATCAATAATTCTATAGGACCAATTTGAATATGTTAAATATCTTATTCATTATTTTATTTTATTTGAAATTTCTAATATATATATATATATATATTTAGATTTTAATAATTGAAACAAGCATTAAGAAGCCTGTAAATTTATTGAAAAATAAGTTTCATATAAACAGTGAGTCCTTGGTGTTTATATATTTGTAAATTGAAAAGTAGTGAAATAATTAAAATGATATATAAATGTAAGTTTAGTAAATTTTTAACCGGTGTATTTTGGTTAAAAATTACATATAAAAAAGTTCTTAAATTTTTTACCGTAGCTAATTAGCGATGAGAACGTTAAATTTTGTACTTTAATCCTGTATTTAAAATTTATAATTTTTTATTTATTGTGGATTTAAATAAATGTTATTGGATACTTTTAATAAATAAATAAAATTATAAAAATAAAAAAGAAAAAAATATATTGTCTTGGGGTATTCATGCCTCAAATGATGACACGTTTAATTTATGATTTAGCTTTTGTGATGGTGAGTTATTGAGGAGATTTTTAAATTAGTTGGGAAACTTCGGTATGCGATAAGGATGTAAATGCAAATCATGATCTTTGCCCACTGAATTTGTTTAGGCCAGCAAATAACATAGTAGAACCTGTAATAAATTTATATTACCAGTTTTATTAAAAATATAAAAAATTTATTTATATATATATATATTATAATTAATGTTTAATTTATAATATTTAATTTTTATGAATTAATAATTTAATTTATTAATATATTAATACAAATAATAATATAAATAAATTTTGTTGAATATGAGTAATTTATTATGTTTAATGAGTGAAATAAATATTACATAACAATTATTTTTTTAATTAAAATATTCAGAACATACTAAAAAATCGTTTAGTTTTCTCTCCATTTAAAAAAAAAACTTAACTTTAAGTTTTAATTTTAAATTAATTCTCAAAATTTAACTGCTTTGGTTCCATTTGGGAGGGTGAGTAAATGAGAAAAAATAAAAATTGGGATGAGAATAATTAGTAGTTTTCTAAGTTGAATATTTTCAGTCTTTTTTTGACCTAATTATTTTGAATTAAATTTAAATGTATTTTTTTAAATTTTTTTTTAATAAGTGGAAGTTATTTATATTTTAATAGATTTAATGCATAATTTACTTGATTTTGTTTATAGATTTAATCTCCAAATGATGAATTTTATTTATACTAATCATGAATAAATACTGAAAATGATATCAATGTATAATTAATTTAAAATTATAGTACTTTTTATTTAAAATTTTACCTTATTTATAATTTTTTAATTCATTTTCTATCAAATTTAATTTCAACATTTATATTGCAAATAATTAGAATAAAAATAAACTGTGTTTTTTTCCCCAAATTTCCCTTCCGAATTAATCATTCTTTCTATAAATTTCTATAGTTTAATTCACCTAAAAAAAAAAAAAAAACACATTCCTTTCACTTAATATATGAAAAAATCAAATGTAAGTGTAATAAAGGTCATGAATTTCAGATCTTTAATGTTTAAATGTAATTTTAACCAAATCAATAATTTATTCTGTGCATTACCAAATTTTCTATTCAGTTCCTTCTTAAACATTTATAATTAAACACAATTAAAAGCAACTTTTTTTCTAAAAATATAAAATGCAAATTTATAAAATAAAAAAAAATGTCATAAAAGTGTGGAAAATAAAAAATTATGCATGAAATATCACATAAACAAGTAATTAAAATAGTTAATTTTGTAATTTACAACATGATTAGAGATTACAATTTTTCAAAAATTTGCAATTATACCTCTTATTTTTTTCCTAGGGTGCAATCGCATTATTGCTATTAACAATGATTGTGGTTTGTTTTAAAAAGAAAAAATTATTTAGTTTAAAGTTGGTTTATGATAAGATTTTAGACAAAAATAATCATTTAGCTTACATCAGATTATAATAATTGATAATTTATCAATAATTTATAATGTAAAGATTAATATAAAAAATAATAATTAAATACATGCATATCATTTTCATGCTTACATAATTTTTTATTAGAAAGAAAAAAAAAACATGTCAAAATTTTAATTTATAATTATAATATCCGTAATTAATTTTTAAATGTATGAATTTTTATTTAATATAAAAATTAGGAAAAATTATGTGGATGATGAAATTGAAACTAATTTTAGAAAAAAGATATGAAAATTTGGATTATATATATATTTTTGAAAGAAAAATAAGAAATTAGGGAGTTAAAACACAATTTAGGAAAAACGTGTCACGTAAAACTGCCCAATCAACAGTCCCGATGAACCGGAGCGTACCGCGTGGCAAGGCACGCTGATGCGGTGCCACACGGGAGGCCATGCTGGCAATCCACGTGCTCGCGATCGGACAGTCTGGATTTGTTCCTGTGCGTATGAACAATCGAGATCCATTCCCTCATCAGGCGCGATCGTACGGTTCAAATCAAATCGCGATAAATGGTTTAGATTTATTTTTTATTTTAACGCGATTAGACGGTCGAGATCAAATGCGATGGACGACCCAGATTAAAGAAAAATGAATATAAATACCTTACATCACACTGAACCCTAACCCTACCAGCTAGCCCCCCCTCCCCCCAATGGAAAAGAAGAACTAGTTGCCGGAAAGAGAGCCGACCACCGTCTGCCACCGTGCCGGAGCGACCTTTGACTGTCAAAAAAAGGTAAAAAAAATTTCTCACTCAAAATTTAATTTTGAACACCCCCATGATAAATTAGAGCAAAATGACAGGCCGATGAGCCAAAAATCACTGGTAAAACTCGGCGGTGTCGCCGCGAAAAAATAAAAAATCACCTCCAATGAGGTCATTCTCGATTCTTGTTTCGTGCAATTTTTCTACAATTGTATTCACCATTCTGTTTTTGTAACAACCCCGGAAATCTAAAAGGAAATATATAATAACTTAATAGTAGAAGCGAAATAAAATGGTTAAGGTTTACATTCCTTACACAATAACTTAAAAGTACTGAATAACATTATGGAATTAATTTTTTGAAAGAAACACGATAAATAAGGAAACAAATGAAAAATAGAAAATATCTAGCATCTACTCGCAATCTTCTTGCGAATCGGGCTCTAGAACCTGGTCATCTTTATCTAAAATTGTTAAATAAATGATGAGTTACACTAGCCTAGTAAGGATATCACACTATATCACTGGCACATAAACAAATGTTGGTAGAAAATCGAAAACTACTAATTGAGTATTAAATTTAGTAAATTCATTTATCAATCATAAAATCATTTATCGTTCACTTACCAATGAGAAATTTATGAAAACAATATATAAAAATAATAATACCATACAGATCATAACTTCATGAATAATCAGCAACATATAACATATTATAAATCCATATCCATTAAGAATAAACCAAACCATAATTGTCTCTATTTTTACTAGCTTACTAGTATTCATGGGGGTTCATAGGGATGTCCTTGCTACACGTGAACCATTTCCTTTAACAATTTCAATTACAGGGTTGTCTCCATACCCCGTCCAGCATGAGTACAAAATCATTAAACCTCAATACCCGGTTAGGTATAAGGGTGAAACAGGTCATCCTCATACTCCGTCCGGTATGAGTGTCAAATTATTCAATCTCTATATCCCGTCCGGTATGAGACAACGTTCACTGTAGGATTTTCTATGTACCCGGTCCGTCCACAATCTCTCAGGATATCTGGTAAGGTTGCTGTTCCATATGTTTATTTAATCACACCACTTTTCCATTTTCCTTTCGCTTCTATTTCTAAATCAAATATAATCACATAAGCAAATAAACATACATTAGGTAATACAATTATGTCTCAAATCCCAAATTAAACAGTAATCACGTAAGGCAGCAATTCATGCATTCAAACTAAAAAATAAATCGATAAGACACTATCATGCTTTTAGATTATAAAATACATAAAAAGAGATTAACAAAGAATAATTTCCAGTTTGGGCTCAATTAACAATCAGTAATTAATTATGCATGTTTACTAAAATCGCACAAAATACCATATTATTATTTATTTAGACTTCAATTCTATGATAGAAAATAGAGTGAATGATCCTTACTCGATTTGACACCGAAAAGCTAACCGGTTCACTGCACCTACGGGCGGTCCCTAGGTTCACTGAATTTTTTTATGGGAACTGAAATACGCTTATAGTACCTACAAATGTTTTAAATAAACCCAAAATGAGTCCCAAGGCCCACTCGGCCAATTTTGAAAACCTGGCACAGCGGCTTCGCCGTGCTCCGGCAACGACGCCACCACTCGTGGTGGTGGTCCGCCTCGAGTTGGCTGTTTTCAATTATTTTCAGTCAAATTCAGCC